AGGATGGAGAGACAGTTTAAGAGAGGAAGACCTTGGAGGAGATGTACACAATAGATTGACACAATAACTGGGAAATGGGTATGGTTGTGTCGAAGACAGTGAGATTGGCTCAGAATAGGGCAGGATTCAGAGCTATTATGCATAGGGATACTATGCAGGCAACATGACAGCACATAACAATACGTGATCTAAGGCACAAATTCTGTCTCAGTGTCTACTTTCTCAGATTACTTCCATAAGTAATAATAAGATAAGTGCCAATTTGAGTCCTCCTGTAAATAAACCTTAAAATGGAGTTAGAATACAGGAGATTAATTGGTCGAGCATTTATTAGAGACAATAGAGCAGGAAAAGGCAGCTCCTTTAGGCCATGATGTAGCTCAGAAAGCTGTAAAAAGAGAGACTGAGAAGGAGGATTAGATAGGAATGGATCAAAAAGTTCTGGCCAACTCAGTGGAGCTGTGAGACAAAGACTGTTCAGAGAGGAATCCAGGTTGGGCTAAGTGTCCAGGGCCTAATTCCCCACTGTGGTCTGTAACTGCCCGGGACTGTGAGTGGGACTTCCATCAAAACAGGACAGCAGTTACCAGAAGAACTATATAGGAGGAAGTGATAGCTTCTCTGCACACCTTCAGTGGGTTCCCCCAGATGTACAGGAACAGTACACCTCCGTGGCTGCCAGAGTAGAGAACATTATCATTTTAATAAGAACCTAACATGTTAACATTAAAGTTTTTCCTAGGCCATGGCTAAAATTATGTCTGTTTGGCATTTGTGAATAAAGTCTTTTCATTTGTGTTTTTATAGCTTCTAACTGGTTTTCACAGACTTTAAAAAAAATGTGTTGGTTTTTAATTGTTATTTTATCTAGCTTCCTCATTTTTCATTCTTACTAGTTAGAGGTTTTCTTTTCTTGCAAGGAACAGCTGCGTTAAGACCAATTGTAGATAATAATTTTATCTTCTTTTTCAAAATGATGACTGTCTTTTAATTCTATGAGTATAATGCTGTTGATATGAAATTTGGAAGCAGGAGTGGCTTCCACTTCCTAAACAACATGCCTCTGGAAACTCTAGGAACTTGGAGAAAAGAAGATAGTTTTAGAAAGGCTTCAGGCCTTTTGTTCATAGGGTTGCTATGAGTGGTGCTCAACTCAATAGGAGTCAACAACAGCATAATGCTGTTGATTTGAAATTATGTATTTTTTCTTGTTAAATATTTAATTCCCAGTTTATAAAAGGTTTTTTGTTTTAAACAGAAGTGGGAATTGCCCCATAGTTTTATTGCCATTGCTGAGAAATAAAAACTTAAAAATAATCTAAACTGGAAAAGAAAGGACTTGCCTAAGAAAAATATATTTTTAATTGCTTCTACAGACAAAAGTTCTGATGAAAGTTAATAAAGTACATGATGTAATGCAATAGTGTGTTTTTTTGGCTTTTAACTCCTGATTTTAGGAGTTAGTGCAGATTTCTTAGTAATTCCCATTTCCTTTCTTAAAATAACATGGAAAAGAATTCTTAGACTTTTCTTTCCTATATTTCTGTGTTTAATGCTGAAGAATCCCATGAAATCAGTTGTCCCACTTGGCTGGGTACATTTCCCAGACTCAGCATTACTGTGAAGTAAATTCTGGTCTTCCACAGAACATCAATTTTGTCACTTTGAATAGTTGCAGGAGTCAGAAATCAGCAGTGCTTTTAAAACATACTGATTTATTATTCTTTATGTCAAAGTATTTTTTAGTCCAGCATAGAATATACCTAACAGGTAATATGGAAACCATCTCTGCTGCCATGAAGTTAATATTGACTTACACCAACACTATTGTTGTTGTTGTT